GTAAAATTACAATGTTGAAATCCCTGGGAATTCTACGTTGATTGGAGGTTGCAACTTAATTGATTCTGTATCACCCATGTGTTTGGATAAAGATGGGACTCTGATGTTAGAATCATTTCAAAATGAGGTAACATATTATCAGCAGGACTTTATTTCTTAGGGTTGGATAAGTCTTGACATGGAGTAGAGTTCTAATAAATCAGGGATTGTGTGATACGAGGTTTTGGCCGTAAACTCAAGGAAGAGCTGTTGGGACGAGAAGACCCGAGCCTCAAGAATGGTGACCGAGGAGATCATGAGGGTCATGGCCAAATTGGCTTCGACCTCCTTGGGGTCCTTGCTCGGGATGGCCCCTGATATAGGGGTCAACAGAGAGAAAAATACGTGATGGAGCCCAAATTAACAAGAGTTAAAGTAATACACGGAGAGAGGGAATTTGAATAGCAAAATCCACTATTTTCTTTAATTTTTAAAGATAAAGAATGTGTTGGATTACGAAAATGAAAGAAATAAAGAGCAATTCCACTGCCACTGTTTTGTTACATTTACGCCATTCTTTTTCTTAAAATAAATCCATTTATTATTATTATTCTGAAAGTTACGGAGGCTTCTTTTACTCTCAATTATTTTTTCATTCTATCAATCCATCCCAAAATACATTTGTAAATACAATTTACATATGAAATCAACCAACCAAAGGTCCAAACTCCATTTTCCAAGTAACAATAAAAAAATAAATAATTAAATACCTATAAAAAAAATATTTAAATCAAAAGGCTGGCTGATGATGTTGCCACATCGTGGCTTCTGCTTCTGGGATACTTGAATTCCCTATTCGAATTCACGTTCATATCTCCAAAGGAACAACACGGACGATCTTCATCGATTCTCCCCATCGCCACGCTGATACTCCTCGGCATCTCGGCCCTTGAAACCGCCCCGACTTTCTTCTGTTGTTGCAGGTACAACTCCAAATCCAGGTCAGTTCTCCGGCTTGACGAAGCCCGAACGAGCTCCCTGAAATCCTCGCTTTCCGACGACAAGGATGACCTGACGCTGTAGCTCTTTGGCAGGCCACGCATGTTCGTGGGACGATAATTGGCCATGTCTGAGCAATCTGTAATGCTTCTCACGTAGAAATCTCGGGCTTTGCACAGAGCCCGATAGGGAATTGTAATGACTCTCAAAAAACTGTTTTGGTGGCTAACTTTAGATTTCATGATCTGAGTTTGCTGGATTCTTCTGAGGAAAAAAGACTTGATTAAGCAACTTATAAGTATTTATGACAAAGATGGCGTAGAGAGGAGGTTTTTTGTAATTGAGATATCGAACGAAAATGATATTTATGGAGTATAAGTATAAAAACAGAAGGCGAGCGTGGAAATTTCTCCCAGCACACTGGATAAGAATTATCTATGGGTAAATTCTTCCGCCATCACTGAACTTGTACGAAACTGTCAATTGTGATACTCAACTTTGATTTAATTTTAAATTTCCCCATACAGATTTGACCCAATGTCAAAATGGCCAAAGGTCACGAATAATGAGCAAGGGATCTAAAATGACGTGCAAGAAAGATGCATTTCACATTCGGATTCTAGCTATATGACCTTCAGGCGGCAGAAAGTCAACTTCTTCTTTAGAAGTAGGTAGTAATTGTTTGTTCAAGCACAAGCCTTCCTATCACTTGACATCTCACAAATTCATGAAATTTGCTTAATTAACCGTTATATCGTTATAGATTTTTCATGTCGTCGGAGAGTCATACCAATTTACCACTACACTATATCATAAAATGTCGAAAATGAAGTTAACTAAATTGGTTTAATCAAATTTTGACCAAATATTTGAGTGGGTTCCACAATCGATTATTGTGAGTTTATAGTTGAACGCGCTCTGCTCAACAAGTAGATAGTCATAATGTATTTTTATTTTTATTTTTTTGTAAAAATCATTTTCTGGATGAGTGGGAACTTAGATATTATTGATTTGGATATTGGAGGGAAAGTAGAAAACTTTGTCGCACATTGAAAGATTGAAGTATACCTATTCTTATAAACTATGTCTGAGTCTTGGATTTGGACTCCAAAGAGTACCATAAATCTTTGAAACGAAGGAGGCCTAAATTTTAGTTGGTTGGATTCAAAGCCCACGCTCGTCGCAGCCTATTGTGCAGGCTCCTAGGTCATGAACTGGACTTGGTTGGGACTGTCCAGAACATATACGTCTATCTTTTCAGGTGTACTATTCCTTCAAACAGAAATTTTGACTATTATAATTTATAAGTAGACCCCTAAGTTCTTGCATAATTTATTCATTCCTTTCATCTTACTTTTACTATTATTCTGCCCTGCATTCTTAGAATTATATTTTGCATTGATCCTTTCTTCAGGGAAAGCATACAAGATACATGTCTGGTTCATCGTTTCTTCCGATTTGAAGTGTTGCTAACATGAGAAGAGATCGTTGTATCTTAGTAGGCGATTGTCGTTCAACCATGCAAATTTATTTTAAGAATAATGAGTTGAACTCTTGTCTCGATTTACAATTTTTTCTACATTTTCGATTTTTGCATTTTGCTCTTTTCAAATATGTGTTTTGCACGCATTTAGTCTACACATGAATATAAACTTAGTCTAAATATAATTTATGCATTAAAATATGGATTAATCTATTTTGTACATTCCTCCTTGACATCTTTGATGACATTCCCCTTTTGTGTAGAAAATATGTTCATTGATTGAAAAAAATTTATTAAAATCAATATACAAAAAACTGTCAATTCACACAATGTCATCCATTGTGTCGAAATTAATGTACACCAAGCAAAACTCTTAAAATATACCAACAATAAAAGTGTGAAGACATAATGACAAACATTTTAACATCTTAATTTAGGGATATCGTCATGACTCTTGTTTTACCATTTTTATTTCTAGATTGTATAACGGAGATTATGTTGAAAATGAATTGCGAGTCAGCTAAACAAATTTTGTCACTTTGGAGGACAATATATGACATGAAACTAAATTGAAAATTAGTGACCTAATTGATATAAATTAAATCTTAATGATCCAATTGAAATTTCGGTCAAAGGTTAGTGACCGTTATTGAATTTTTCCCACTGGTATATTAAAATCGAAAAGGATAAGAAGAAATGATTGTATATAGAGTCAGCTAAACGACGTAGTTTTTCCAAACTTGACAAATAATGTTGATTTGAATGCAATACTATTTTCAAACTTTTGACTTTAATTTGTGTAACCATTTTGATCTCATCCATTAATCATCATATTCTTGAACCAGTTTCAACTTTCATAATCAAATGGTAGGCTTCACTTCGTTTTCCATTTTTTGTATCGCTTTCTTATTGTCTACGTTTCTTAAAAAGAAATAGTTCACACATACGATTTATTCATTATAAGATTAAAGTCGTAAATTAATTATGCGTTGACTAAGAATAGTATATATGAAAGGGTACGAAATCCAACAATTCAACGAATAAACGTGTTTAAACTAAAGAAGTAGTCAATAATTTATGGATAAGAAATGTTATCCAATATATATATGTGGAGAAGCAACAATAATTATTCCAAGAATAGGAATTTCTTTTAATTGATAGTATACCTTGGTAACACGTTGTTATTTTTATAATAATCTTATGATAGAACACCGTTCACACTTAACATAAATAATTATGGATTTGGGTTATACTATTAAAATAAACATGTAAAAAATGTGTGTTATTCTGGGAATTTTTCTGGTCGTACTTTTCTCAAGATTTTAATATTCTTTAACTGACAAACGAGATTTATTACAATTTGGAAGGTGACAACTGAAATTGAACCATGGCTCTCCACCATTATCATGAAAAGTCGTTTTACCCTTTTATAATGTGAAATTTGACTATTCTTCAGGAGAAATTGACAACTCATCTAAGCATTTTGGACAATGATACATTATTAGAATTTTATTTTAAAAGGTCAACTTTATAAATAATATTAAGGATAATCTCACGTTGAATAGAGATGTAAACAATAAAATACGTATAAAGGTTTGAGCAGCTCTTATTGACATTTTAAGTCTAATATGATATTGCACCCTCTAAGCTCACATTAACAAATTGATTCATTTAAATCTTCCGATAAGCCACACCTTGCGGTAATATATTAAGAGGAAATCTCACATTGGTTAAATATAGAAATACTGTTATTCTTTTTAATGAGATTGATATTTTATAATAGAACGTTATGTATAAATAATATACAAAACTAGGGGTGTGTCTTAGACTAGCAATTTGTTTTGATACAAATCTAGGGGTGCCGCCCAACGGGGAATGATAAATACAAATATTCAAAGATTTCAAGTCCACTAAAAGTAAAATGACACGTTACTTAATTTGGCTTGAATTATTCAACTTGGCTTACTTCAAAAGGGAAAAGTAGAAAAGGTAGAAAGTATGGAAAATGATTTTTGTTGCACATAGAATTGTAGTCGCATTACCATTGTAAAAGGTGGCGAGTCTTGTATTTATATGATCAATTTTCTTTCACAACACGGTATCAAAGCCAAATTGATCTTTTTTTTTTGGTTGAGTGAATTGCTGTTTAAGGAACATTATGATAATGAAATTCTAGGCTACTATTAATTTAATTGATGAATGAAGAGTTTCACACATAAAAGAAAATATTATTTTATTACTAAAATACACTTAAAACACAGTTTCAATTGTGATAGCCTCTTCCATTCAGCAACACAACACAGAAAATTGAAAAAAGCCCCAAATCACTGTCTTCTCTCTCCGACGCCACCACTGTTTCTTCCCATTACAAATGTCACAACCCCAAAATCTTTCATTGTCTTCTCCTATTCTTTTGTATCTTCTTCCCCTAACCGAGTTAGAGTGTTATTATTCTCCTATTTCAAATGCTACCACAGCAGGAGAACAACCCATTCAAGGAACCAATTTCTCAACTGTCTATCTTCAAGTGAGAAGGTTTCATCAATTTTCTAGTTACTAGGATTTTATGCGAATTTTTGTAGAAAATGTTGGCATTTCGACATGTAAATTTATCCCAAGTAGTTTTTTTTTTCTTTGGGTATCAATGAAAATTTGGGTTTTCTTATGGGGATTTTATTTACTTATCCTAGTCAAACCAAGTTTTTGTTTAAATAGACCATCAACTAACTTCTTTAGTTAGATA